ATTTTCATTAAAAATTTCGAAAGTTTGGTCAGCAATGGTGGGGGGACAAAGCGCTTAGTCGCTTCGTCAGTGTATGGTGGGACTTTAAATAACGAATTATTTATCTGTAAATAATCATCAAAAGAAAGTTCAAATCAGTTAGTGAAATTTAGCTCGGAAGTGAGGACGCCTGAGTTCCCAGATCATTCGCTTAGATTCGCTTAGAAAAGCAATGGAAATTTGTTGTAGTTACTCGTATTTAAATAAAACGCATTGCTGTGCCCAAAGGAAATTACATTAAATGCCGATCTCTGATGATGAGCGATTAGAAAATTTTAACATTAATGCGTCCTCTTCCGCATTTGAATTCTACATTCTGCGTTCATTTTGGTTAGCTTTAATTATCGGATTGTAACTATGAACTGTCACTATCATTGTGGCGATAATGAGTACGTTTTGTTACTACTAAAATCGTCGCTTTCAGGAACCGTTTTTAGTCAAATGATACCGTGCGTGGATGTATAACCATGGTTTGCAATTTGAGTTTTGATTTTTTCAATTGGGCTATTGTGGGTCTATAAAATTAGTAATGGATGCTCTCATTGCACTAGTTAACACTGGACACAGAACTTAATTCGCAAATGAGAAAACCCGTGCTTAAATTCCAAATCAATATTTTTCTGAATATTAATAAAATAAACCAGGTAAATCATTCAATAAAAATATTATTTGCAATAATTTTACTCGTGGATATGAAAATAAAAAAGCATGAGGGTATTTCCTATACCGAAGTTAAGCATCGCTTGCAGCATCGCTCTCGTATACTTGGATCGTAAGGTTGAGATTTTATCCTTTCTCCTCAACAGTGCCGCTCTGCACGGCTCTGCACGGCTCTGCACGGCTCTGCACTGCCTTAATTCGACCCTCAAGATATTCATATTTCCGGTATTTTTCAGCGCGATGACTTAAGACTGCGAGACGCTCGTAAAGACGCTGACCTTCTACTAAGCAAAATTCCATTGAATTCTAAGTGGGTTTTAGTTTCTGTTCTAAAAATGTAAGCTAAGTCCATGAGTCAAGTTGCTGAACGAGGTCTGAGATAGTTATGAGTCCCGTAAAATTATGCAGAGCGTGAAAATTAAGATAAAAAATCTTGTGATTTGCAGGGAGACGAAAGTTGTTAAGTGGAAACGTCCCCATAGGCAGTGGATGGAAACATTCGTACAACATTTGTCGCAATGAACACTTTATAATAAATTTTTCCCAGTGCCAGAAAAAAAACAAGCGAGCGAATTTCAGGCTTGGTGATAATATTCATAAGCTAGCTGGATATGAGGAAAAAATTAATGTTATGTTTATGTCCATATTTTGTGCATAGTTAACAATGATGAATGATCGAAATCATAAAAACTTACACACCGTTATATGCTGTTGCTACTGAAAGAGGGTAAAGTTATCTAAGATTTTACCAAACCAAGAAAATTAGTATAAGATAAATCATTTGGTCTCTATATTTTTAATGCAGCAACCGCTCAACTTAACGTGAAATATCTAATATATCTTGGGTAACTAAAAACCCTTCAAACTAAACATAAGAAAGTCACTTTTGTTCAAGTGCGGAACTGACAAAGCTTCGTTGTTTGTTGTTTCTTTATATATTCCCATGTGCTTAATATCTTTACTAAAAACCCTGTATCAACTTCATTTGTATTTTAAATTTTGACTATTCATGCAAGTCTTTAAATAAGCAGGTTTCATTGAAGACCAGAGAATTCGTTTTATTGACAATTTTTCCAAGAGAATGAAAGCAAACAGAGATCAGTAGCTGCCGAAAAATTATTTTCTACTTTTGAGTCCACATGAAAAACGTGGTCTTTAAAAATTTTTTTTATACATTTTATTGTCAATAAAACGTATTCTCTGGTCTTCAATGAAACCTGCGTAGAAGAACAAATTTTGCCGACCTATACTAATGTCTTTAAATAATGAGACGCAAAATAGTTAGATCTCGGAGTGTAGTATCTGTGATACCACAGCGAGTTCAATCAAATGCATGTTATATTAAGAAATATGTGGCCTAGCCAATTTAAAATTGGGCACCACCAATATATTTTTAAAGCGGAAAATTATTTTAAATAGAACTGAGTTGCGTAAACATCCGATGTTGACACCAAATGTAATAGTTGACAAACTAATGTTGAAAATTTTATGAACCGTCGTTTTTTCCACAGATAAAATAATTTGCGATAAATTTGCATTGAAAGATGCTTGCCGGCATCAGTAATAGTATTCCCAAGAAAATTCCAATTCGTATTTTTCAAGTTCCGTTTGCGAATTTTTTTTACGATCAAAGAGATTGATGAAAAAAATGTGCGTCATGGTGCCTGAAGGATCAAAGATCATGGGCTAATGGACCATAAAACTGAGCTAAGCAAGATTATTGTATGAAGTTGGGCTCTTATCATCAAAGATGCTTCGCAAGAAAATATTTTCTATATTTTTTATTGATCATTCGAAGTCAATGAAAGTCAATTAAGTGACTAGGGTTCTCTTCAAAGGTACTGCTGAGAATTGTGAAGTTTGAAATTAAAAAAAATCATAACCTTGAGTTTCATAACCTTGGACGAACGGATACAGTGACGAAAAAAACTTTTTTTTAGAAAACTTGCAAATTTCATAAACTGCCCCTACTTCATGGCAACAAAACTTTCTGGCTATGGTTTGGCTTCGCGGTATTAATAATTATCAGAGAAGTGAAAAAAGTCCTTATGTATCCCATAATTATTTAAAGGCGAAGAACCAAATATCTGCGGTCTCACAACAAAAATTATCATTCAACACAGAAGCCATAAAAATGTCCACGAATGCCATCACGGTCAAGAGAATATAAAACTTGAGACAAATTATCGGTACATTTTGACTCACATGTTTCTTGCTCGCAATTGAGCAGCTCGTTAAGGAAGTTCGAGCAGGAACTGACAAACAAACGATGCATCTGAGCAGAACTGAGCGGGACTCGAAGTCCTTCTTTTTCTTGTCAAAACGCTGCGCGAGTTAACGAAGTAAGTTTTTAATGCGCTTCTTCATAGGAAGAATTACGACGCCTCAGCAGCTCGAATGAAGCGAATCTGTTAGCGATTCCATGCTCTTTGTTTTGGTTTTCAGTGGTTTCGATGGAAAGAATCTGTAGCACGTTCGTTTGTATCACAAGATTCACGAGTTTTCAATAAAGTTTTAGATTATCGTTGACATACATCAAAAATCGTTCTATGAACGTTTGATAGTTGAGAATGAATTAGAACGGGGAAGTTAATCAATACCTTATTTATACGTTCAATACGTTTAATACATATTACAAATACTTAGATATTGATGTAAGACCATGGTTTAAATGTCATTAAATTAAATAAATTTTATTAATTAAATAAATCTCCTTCAAATTCAAGTCAAAATAATTAGCGTTGCCAACTTTGCCTTTTTCATTGTGTAAATAAACTTATATCAGTCACTTATTTTATGCTTTTTTTGTAGACTATTAAAGTAGTGTGTTGCTGAGTGAAATACAAAATATTTTCAAGGAAGTTTAGATGCAAAATGCTGTATCGGAAACAACCTCTCATGAGCCCTGAGAAGCACGACTCCCTTCATCCGCTGCATTCCCATGAATTGCCGGAGTTCTTAATTTCGCGGCTGCAGACACCGCTTAGCGCTCCGCCCGCCCCAGCGTCTCCCGGAGGATGATGGATGTACGGCAGAACTGTCGCCAGCTGCCATGGCTGCACTGCGCAGCGGTGGCAGCTGGTCTACTGCCGCACGAACCATCTGCAGCGTATCCAGCTGCCAGATTTTACACTGATGCTCGGGGAACATCAGCGATAAGAGAGAATGCGTAAATGCCTGGTGACAGAAGCAGTAGAGATATTTGACATATATTTATTATATAATGTAATAATAATATTATAGCGGTTTCAGCGTTTATTAGACCGTAGGCCTATCATCGATTCTTAATAGCGCAGAACATCCAAAGCTTGTTGCGGGCTCAAACGCGCAGCTCACTGCTTCAAATTTCTTTGCTCAACCGCCCGGCCTCCTCGCCGATTCTGACCAGAAACTGGCGCACAGAGCTGGGATCGAACCCGCACCTCTCTGCTCAAATCTTGGTACTCTGAGCTTTAACCACTGGGCCACTCTGCCTGGTTAATGTTATCATATCATTTAATCTTATATAATATATCATTTATGCAATGTGGGGCCCATAATAGCGCTTGCTAAAAAATGGCTTTTAGTTGCCTCTTTAAAATCCAGTCGAATTTTTACTGCTCCTGCAGCCGTAACTGCACTAAAAGCATCATGGTACTACTGCACCATATTTACCAGTATAAGGGCTGCAGCTTTACTGTTGCCATAATTAAACCTCAATTGCAGTTGCAGGTAGTACCAGCTGCTGTTTTTGCGCTTCTGGCATCAAGGTTCTCTGTTATATTTTGTCTATTATTATCAACGAGGTTGAATCGTAAAGCGCTTCATCGAGACGACTTATCTTTTGAAAAAATATTTTTCGCACTTGACGCTAGTCATGTGCGTACGTGTAAAAATGCATGAGACAAAAATCACTTTGGATAACAGAGTAGTAGAGCGCACATCGAATGAATCAGGGAGCAGAGTAGCAGAGCATAGAGGTAATGAAACATGGCAACGAGTAGCAGAGCACACATGGAATAAAACTGAGATCGGTAATTAAAGAAGGTGTAGTGCCAAATAATAAGATGCGATACAAATACCAAAACGAGAAAATTTGAATGATAATATATGATATGTGATATATAATATATAATATATTATATATAATATCTAATGATACATTGGCCAATAATACGATTACCAAGAATAAAAGTAGTGATATATACTGGTATATTCAAAATCAATTCAATATCATTATTTTACCGTACGAGAAAATACAGTTATTCTAAAATCACAGTAAAAAAGTTTATAAAAATTTGGGTAAAGAAACTCACTTTTTTTCTCTACAAGTTTGTTTTATTTTCCCGATAGATCATGAGACGGAGAATACAGATACAAATGCTATGAGTGCAGAGACATCCCCGAATGTGATAACAATATGCACCTTGCATGATTTCTAGCAGAAATGAATTCATTATACCAGGAATTATTGGACAAATTAATCTCTTTGAAACACCATAGCTTATGCTTGTAGTAGCATAAACGTTTGGATGTACAGTCAAATACTCCCAAGAAAATAGGCTCTTTTTCAAAATTTAGAGCAATAAAAAGAGCACGTTGTGCTGTGAACTTTCATTATTTTATTATATTTATAGACTTCCGCAAATATATCGAATTTGAAAAGCTTGATTATAAAATTCTGAGGAAAAAACTTTGTAGTCAAGAACTAAGCACAAATTGTTCTAGAAACAAAAAACAGAAGCGACTTATTTCGAAAAAAATTGCAGTCAAAAGCTCAAAGCATTTCTGTCGTCTAGTTATTGTAAACTAAATGTCTTCTATTTACATACGCACAGCATCATGAACATTGATAAACTAAGCATTTAGTTGGCGAACAATATACAGTATCTAAGAATTGCGTTAGTAAAAGCTACTAAAAAGCTGAATTTCTTCGAGCATATTGTTCATCTTGATTTGATGATCAGAACGTTTTTATTGCCAGTTCTGTGAGAATAACTATAATAAGTATACAAATAGAAGATTCACACAGAAGGTGTCTCCGGCATTATCATACTGAACCTAACGCCCAATTCCGTAAAAATTATCCCCAAAGCAAAGTTATATTTGAGTAGGAAGGGTTCGTCACATTTGAGCAGCAAATTTCAAACTTAAAAAGTATAAATCAATAATTGTGGACTATAAAAGGAGGTGGAAGAACGTAAGGTCATAAATTTACAGAAGATAGCAACACGAGAATGGGGGTATTGGTAGTTCGGTGTATGTACAAAAACCATGCACAGACTTAATTCAGCTTTGAAAAGAACGGATTCAGAGTGAAGCAATGTATTTTCGAATGGGGAGCATCCATTATATTGTAAAATAAAGCAAATAATTAACATGATCTTAGCTTATTCAAAATATTGAAAACTAGTATTTACAGCTATAAAATCTCTAATCTCTAGTTTACTTTCTTTACATGCAGAACCGACTGACCTAAAACCTAAACCAAATGACATCCGCAAGTACGACAATCATATACAAATATTACGCCACTTTCATTCTCATTTCTGTTTATAACTTCAAATAAATTGGTTCTTATCCTTATTGTGTTTACATTTCCCATGTTGACGAAGTTGGTCTTGATCAGATCTTGTTTAAGACGTTAATCAAGCTTGATATTGCAAGTCTTGTTGACTCTTGACAATGTAGTTCTTCATTGGAATTGTCGTTATGATGAATTCTTGTTCATCAGATAATTCCTGTGACACACTTCGTCAGATTCACGAGTCCTGATGATAGTGAACAGATGAGTCCTATTGATACTGTTCCTTCACATGAGTCGTCTTGCCGCTGTTCATAAGGTGAGTCATGTTGATATGGTTCATCAGACGAGTCTTGATGACTCTGTTCATCAGGTGGGTCATATTGACGCAGTTTCTGGTCAGCGAGACGCGGATATGGCGACGTTGATCTTGCGAGGCTCGACCACCCTGGGCGTGTAGAGCGCCCCGGGCACGCCACTGCACACAACACAAGAGGCACCGTCACTGACAACTGCATGATTAGGAATAAGAATATGAATTATGCATAAAGCATGGGTGTTTCGGACTTAGGGTAGAAACTCAGGTTGTCTAGGGTAAAAATCGAAAGACGACGCGGGTTGATTGCGGTCGGCGAGGTATTTTAGCCGAGCGGGCGGACTGCTCCTAATCATGCACTCAGATCTAGAAATAAGTGACATTATAAACATTATTTCTTTTATTATGTGCCGGTGTACACTTTTTCTCATCGTTGACTACCAAGCCTTCGTATTTTTCTACGATTTGACGAGTGGTGCATAATTAAACTCTGTGCGCAATAATTGTTTAAAAAGTCTCATGCATGTATGTCTCTAATCATGGCTATTCATGCTATAAGATCTAGAGTAATTTTGTGGTTTGATTGTAAATTGTAAAAATAATAAATTAAGCATATTAGATGGTATACATTGGAGCTTTTCGCTAACGACATTTGTATTTAAAGAAGATTTGTCCCTAACTTGACCTGTTAGGTAATAACCTTAATTTGGCTGGATCTCATCTCCATAGTTATAATTGTACTTGAGTCCAGTTATATTAGTCCGATAATTGGACCAAACTATTGACTGGAACTGGGGACCATAATTACGGCTGGTCCTGATAACAATAATTATGACTGGATCTCAGGACCATAATTACGACTGGTCCTGATAACAATAACTATGACTGGATCTCAGGACCATAATTACGACTGGTCCCGATAACAATAATTATGACTGGTCCTGATAACAATAATTAAGACATAGCCTCACTTGCTCGAGCTGTTCTTCTTCTCTAGCAGCTGTCGCTTCCACGGTGGCAGTTCCTGCAGACGCTTCAGCTCGAGCTGCTGCAGTCTGTGCTGCTGCTCCTCTGCAGTCGCTCGCTCTGCAGCGCGCCGGGCCAGCATCTGCCGCTTCCACTCCGGTATTGGCAGACCTGCAGAGTCCACTTGCGGCACCTGAAAATTTCACCAAAAAATAAAAACAAATTTAAACCAGGTATTAGAAATGAAGTAAAAAAAAGTAGCCTGGGAGTAAAATTCATGAGAATTATTTAAGATCACAAAGGCTTCATAGAAATCATGGCGATTACGTGACATTAGAAGACTCACCTTACTCACAAATACTTGATGGAACTCGTGGTGATTACGTGCTAACATAAGACTCACTTTATTCACCAACGCCTGAAAAAACTCAAAACAACCACGTGACATCAATAGACTCACCTTGCTCACAAATATTTGATGGAACCCATGCAGATTACGTGACATCAGATGACTCACCTTACTCACCAACAGGTGATTAAACTCATAACAACCAAGTAACATCAATAGACTTACCTTACTCATGATCTGCTCGGGAGTTATTAGGACTTGTAGATTTTCCTGTTTTTGCTGTTGGTGTTGCTGTTGCTGCTGATGTTTGAGCTTGCTTGGAGAGCCGATGTCGACCGAACGCTTCAGCTCTTCGATGACGTCAGCTTTGTCTGGCTCTGAAGTTATCAAGCAAATTCATTAGAAAATTTATTTGCCTGCATATATATATTTGCCTTCAAACAAAAATAGGCTCGCTATTGCCTAACAGTTCTGAACTCATTCTATGTTGAAGCACCAGAAGGTTAGTCCGGCGCTGCTCGCCAAAAAAACTTCCGCACTATTTTTTAATTCCATTAATAATCTAGCTATGCAAATAGGAAAAGACCCTTACCTTCCCAAATTTCACAGAAAACTCCCATTTGCCACTCGTTTCAAGATATAAAGAAAAACAATTTCAAGTCTATTAAATCACATTTTTAATTTTTGATCAAAATCTTTCCTTCCAGTTCTGCAATGACTTACTATTCTCACTCAGGAATAAATTTCCAGGTCCAGGTTATACCAGTAACATTGATACAATAAGTACCATTCAATAAGCGCTCATCAAAAGGTTACACGAAAAGTATCCTGGATGTGCGTCCCAGAAAGCCCCCGATTTATTCACGGTGCCAGGCTTCAAACACAAACTTTAACACAGCATATAAATAAGATATAATTATGCATATCATATAATATATCTTATATGTAATATATCTTTATGTATATAATTATACAGAAAGGGAATTATTTTTTCGTGGGATAACTGTTGGCGGTGCCAAGCGGCACTCACTTTCAGGGGCGTTGAGCAGCAGCGGGACGGCGGTGACGCGGCCCTCGCGCGGCGCCGTCTTGCGCAGCTGGACGCTCTGCAGCTGCGCGATGCTGATGCTTGCGAGGCCGCGTGATGCCGACGCTGCATAGTACATATACGCATTAATAAATTTACAATTAAGCGTAAAATGGCTTCATGACAGACGAATGTAACACATGATTCACGAGTTTCACTACCCGACATGCAAGTCGCACACGCGATACACGATTACTTTGTGTCGTGTGTGTGGAGCAAACGACAGTCGAATTTACAGAAATTTAAAGTCCTAGTATAAAAATTTATCAGTTAAAAAACTTTACGATTTTGACAACTTTATTAATGCCTCTATAATACAACTGCAGCGCAGTTAAAAGGCTTAATCTAGTTCCATAAATATTCAGAAGAAAAATCTCTGAGCAAGCTGTGTAAAACCAGTCGTAAAAGGGAAAAATCATGCATAATTGCGTTATTCATCTTACACGTGTTTGTGCCTGTTGGAGACGCGATGTTATCGCTGCTATTTTCGTTGCTGCTGCCGTTGCTGTCGCTGGTCGGAGCGGGAGACTCGATGCTGTTGGACTGCGTTCTCTTCAGCGTCAGCTCTTCCGTGTCAAGTGAAGAGTTCTTCTCCACGACTGGAAAATAATTCAAGGTTTCAACGCCTTTTCTACGGGTAAGTAAACCTCTTTTAATGCTATACGTACTTAATGGTCAGGTAATCAGATTTAGCTTAAGTGGACATAGAGTTGAATGAGAGGTTTTGAACAAAAATTAATTTTTCAAGCAAAAAATTAAGCTAACTGAGAATAAAAAAAGTAACCATTTATTTTCAAACTGAATATGAGAACTGAATGTTATAAATGTGACAATATTAATATAATATTAAAATTCTACAACATTGATAGTAATAATTTATTTACGCGATAATGATAATATTTCAATGCCCTTGTATTTATCACTTGGATTCAAAGCTACCAAGTTATGAGGAACATTTATGGAGTTATAAATGGCGTAAACGAAGTGCGCAACGTCCATCTTTGAATAAATTTATCTATTTAATTTGTTATAATGTTATTCTTCAGAGAACATTAACTGTTCATGATTACGTGATTATTTCGTTAATTACTCACGAGGATGAGCAGGAGGGGGAGGTGGAGGAGGAGGAGGTGGGACAGGGACTGGGGGAATGACAGTCGCAGCGGGGGGAGTCTGGGGAGCCTCGGAAGGGAGCGAACTGTTGTGGAACTCTGGTATGGAAGAGCGGGTTCGAGTGGGAGAACTGTTTTCAGAGCCGCTGTGGGAGTCGGGGATGGAGTGTCGGGGGGAACGAGAGGAAGGACTGTTTTCAGATCCGCTGTGGGAGTCTGGGATGGAGTGTCGGGGGGAACGAGAGGAAGGACTGTTTTCAGATCCGCTGTGGGAGTCGGGGATGGAGTGTCGGGGGGAGCGAGAGGGAGGGCTGTTTTCAGAGCCGTTGTGGGAATTGCTGGGGATGAGGCGCGGGTGCGCTAGGGCTTTGGGGGCGGGTTCTGATTTTATTCTAGAAACTGGGCTGTGCTTGTGAGAGGAATGAGGGGAAGAGTCCATCTCGTAGTCCGGGGGAGGAACGCCTGAGGAATTGAAAATATCATAAAAATTCAATAATTGAATGCTTTAATATACAATTTATTGTCTAGTTTATTCAATTTATCTTCAAATTATATCAATGATCGTGATGCCAATGCCTGTGCACTTGAATAATTTGCATTGAAAACAAGACCAGAAATTATATCATAACCTGCGATGGACGCAAATTTATGTCTACAAGTTCTCAGTACGATTGACTCGCTTTTAATTTTGAACATAATATCTGCTAAATTTATCATCAGCCTAAATAATATCTGCTACATTATTTATCATCGGCCTAAATAATATCTCAAATATTATCCGCCTAAATAATAAAATAATATCTGCTGCAGCCTGAGTAGCCACCTAAACTAGACTCTGACTTCCAGGTTACCTGTGACCAGGTCGTCCAGACCTTGCAAGTGTCGCTGCACGCGCTCGCTGGATCCTGGGAGAACGAATCGTCGAAACTTAGCTTTTTCTTGGCAATTTGTCTTGACAATTTGACTTGACAATTTGTCTTGACAATTTGACTTGACAATTTGTCTTGACAATTTGTCTTGACAATTTGTCTTGACAATTTGTCTTGACAATTTGACTTGACAATTTGTCTTGACAATTTGACTTGACAATTTGACTTGACAATTGAAACGAGCAAAACAATTTCTGTTATCGTTTGAGAATTTTATGAAGGTAAAAGAAAAATAGCGCCTTTTTTCATAAATGAGAAAATGCGCTAAAAATACGAGATGATAGTACAATAAAAGGGCTATTTCAATGCCAAATACGAAATTTTCTAGCAATATCCTTTCATTTACATTTTCCACCAAACCCACGGCGAAATTTTGAAATTATCGACTTCGAAACAATTGAGGGGGAATTGTATGCTTAAGAATATAGCACAAGACCTTCGACCTGCCGCACTCACCGCCGTCTGAAAAGGACTTGGTAGAGCTCCGTCTGCTAAGGCTTCTGTCATTGCCGTCTACTCCGTCAAAAAGTTTCTGCAGTGGCGAGGCGTTGCCATTTTTTGCATCGGCGCTATGGAGATAAAATGGCTCACTAACAGAGCTGTTGTTACTGCTGCTGCCTTGCAGCTGCTGGTGCACTGCTGTGTTGCGCAGGTCTTGAAGAGTGTTGTAGTTACCGTTGCTGTTCATGCTGTCACAGTTACTATGGTTGCTGCCTTGGTCACTGTTGCGGCTGTTGCTCCGCATGCTGTTGCTGTTGTGGTGCGTTCCGTTGATGCCACCATCAGAGGTGCTGGACGTGTTGCTCTTAGTGCGTCTGCAGGAAGAGTCTGATGCGCATTCTTCGCCATCATTGCGGCCCAAGATTTCCGTGTAATGAGCGTCGTCAGCTTGAGGATGATGGGCGCACGGTGAAGGAGGGGACGTCTGAGGGCCTGAGCCCGCGTCAGGAGGGTGTAGGTAGAAGGGCGAGTGCGGAAAAGAATTCTGTTGCCGGGATGACTGCACGACGGGAGAATAAGTAACTTGTAGAGAAATTATGATTAGCTGCATAAATACTATTATGAAAATTTTTAGATTTTTCTGAAATAGCCTATTTTTCTTACAAATATCGGCAATTCCCTAAAGGCCTATTCTTTAAGCATTATCAGAGCATAAAAATAAATTTAATAACAGTAAATGTAGAATTTAAAACTAATGAACTGACTCATTTTAACCTACTCTTTTCATTCGAACGTAAACTCTAAATATATAAATACCAGTTAACTTTCTATCTAAGATGGATCGGATTAAGATTTAATACGCAAGACGCACTTGTCTTTTGCGAGTGTTGTTGGCGTTGCTCTTCTTGCTGCTGCTGCTACTGCTGGTGCTGCTTGTGCTGCTGTGGCGGGCGCTGGTGCTGCTAGTGCTGCTGTGGCGAGCTTTGATCTCACCTTCTTCAGGAGAAAACGGCAGGTCGCTGTATTGCATCAACAGCCTCACCATCTGATTGCATTTGAACCAATTTAATCATGTGGATGATCATTATGATTAATAAATAATAAATGATCATATGAAAAGTTAACCATAATAAATGGTTGAGAACATTCTTAAATACTTAATAGTGAACGAAAAATTTTCCAAACATAACTGAATGCTAGAATTGTTATTATTATTTCTCTGACAAATTGAATCTGAATTTATCTTTATTCTATCTGAAGCCGAGATGTATCACAGAATCTTTTTTATGCTGATTTATTCCACGTCGCTACGACTTTTCTTACTAAAATGCAGGTTGACAACACTCAGCGAAATAAGAGGGGCTTTGTCCAAATAGAGGCGGGATTTTTTTTTNGGTAATTTTTCATTTATTCTAGAGTATAATATATTTATGTCTCCTATCGTTTGATCGCGTTAACTGGAAAATATCGCTTGTGTTCAGTTTAAGATTATAGTAATAAGCTCAGTAACTTTTTTTTATATACTAAGGTATATTATATTCAAGTCTCCTATCATTTGATCATGTTCACAAGTAGAAATTCTTTGTGTTCAGGTCAAGATTATAGTAATATGCCCGGTAATTTTTTATTTATTCTAAGGTATAATATATTTAAGTCTCCTATCGTTTGATCGTGTTCGCAAGCAGAAATTGCTTGTGTTCAGTTCAAGACTATAGCAATATGCCCGGTAATTTTCATTTATTCTAGGGTATAATATATGTAAGTCTGCTGTCGATTGATCGCGTTAACTAGAAAATATCGCCTGTGTTCATTTTAAGAGTATAGTAATAAGCTCAGTAATTTATTTATATTCTAAGGTATAATATATTTAAGTCTCCCATCGTTTGATCGTGTTCACAAGCAGAAATTGCTTGTGCTCAGTTCAAGACTATAGTAATATGCCCGGTAATTTTTTATTTATTCTAGGGTATAATATATTTAAGTCTGCTATCGATTGATCGCGAACAGAAGCGATACTAGAAGATATCGCTTGTGTTCAGTTTAGGAGTATAGTAATAAGCTCAGTAATTTTTTTTTAAATTCTCCTAACGTTTGATCGTTTTCACAAGCAGAAATAGTTTGTGTTCAGTTCAAAACTATAGTAATATGCCCAGTAATTTTTTATTTAGTCTAGCATTCTGGTAATCGTAAAAATTAAATAATCTAAATTTTGATGGGTTATGTCAGTGCTACGTTTGCTTTCTGTAAGAAAGAGGCTCAATTTTCTCAATTTTTGGACAATGTGACCCATTTATATCTCACTGTAGTATGTTTACCGTCCGTAGACGAAGATTTGAATTAATGAACACTAAAATCTGTACTCCTTGTGCTAGCTTTTTATCGCATCTCTTATATAGGTCATCCTGACCCAGTTTGGCCTTTATCAGTGATACGTCCGCTCTCTGCCAGTGCGAAAGAAAGAGGGTCACTATTTGGACAATATGACCCATTTATTTCAGACTGAATACTTACAGTTAGTAGGATAAAATTTTAAATCAATTAATACTAAAGTCTGACCTCCTGATGCCTGTTTTCTATAGCGTCGTGGACGGCCGTCTTGCCCCACAGGTCCGTCTGGTCAGGGTTGGCGCCGCTGGCGAGCAGCAGGCGCGCGGAGGACGTGTGACCGCGTGACGCGCAGAAGTGCAAGGGAGTGGCACCGTCGGAGTCACGAATGTGCACAAGACGAGGATCAACTGAGATCTGAAATGCGAGAATATTCCAATAAACAAAATTAAAGCAGAGTGAAGGAATTTAAAGTAAAAAAATTAAAATGCGAATTGAGGTGTCGAATGCTATAGATAACTAAGAATGGAGAAGCGAGTTTGGGGTTCGGCCAATAAACTAAATTTAAGCACATTAAAGGAATTTAAAGTAAAATAATTAGAATGTGAATTGAGGTGCTAAATGGTAAAGATTACCATGATTGGCGAAGCGAGTTTGGAGTTCGGACCCACATTAATAAAATTCCGGTCGAGATCGGCAAGGTGGTCTGGTGGTTGACGATCGGCTACATGCAAACATGGTCTAATTAAATCTGACACTACCCAATTTTTATTATTACGATTAAAATCTTCTTCAGAAGAGTGAAACTATAGATCAATAACAATAAACTATTCGATGGCTAAGTGTTTTTATTCAAGAAAGGTTACCTATTACATAGAAACGTCTCAGACAGGAGTACCTATACGCTTACCTACAATTAAACTGTCTGTGACTGACTACAAGGAGCTTCGAAGGCACATTTTAATAAAAAAGAGGAAGTTATTTTAGGACTCCTAGTTCTATAACTTGAACTTTATTTGACTCTAATCATACAAAGTCTTCTGCAACCACTGCAAGCTTTACGGTCGACTGAACGCTTCTACCGCTCGGCAAAAATACTCGATTAGTTTAAAGCAGGAAACACCCGTTGAATTATGTAAGAAACCAATTTAGAATTCGATCATTTGTTTTAATAGATCAATGAATACTAAGGGAGGTTCTTTTGAAATTCGTAGTTCGTGGAGCAAGAGCTGCACGTGGTTCGTGGTTCGTGTAGCAAGAGCTATACGAAATCTAACTTGCTAATTGAAACTCGGTCAAAATTACTTGAACGTTGAAAAATAAAAAATGAAATCCTGTGTGGTTCAATAGCGATTCTTATTGTTGGCAATGAACTTTTTAAACATATTACTAGTAAGTAAAGCTTACAAATTTAAAAAAAAATTAAAAACTAGAGGCTTATTAAACTAAATGAAGGACCAGGAATTAATTCGAGTTTAATTTCTAGATAATACCACACGATCATGTACCTCCCCAGCAACACTACCAGCGGCGAGAAGCAAGCAACAGCATCGTGCATCAGGTGGCCCAAATGAGGGCGGATGAACGATAATCAGAGGCGGCGATCCATCGTGGCCTGGGACTGCTATGTCCCAAACAAGTATCAAGGATACCAAGTAACAGGGGCCCCTCTCACCATGTACTTTAGCACGTCCGTACATCCCATCTGTGCCGCCGCGTGCACAGGAGTGAGACCATCTGCTGCAGGATGGTCCAAACGGCCTCCTGCATCTACAAGCTCCTGCAACACCTGCAGGTGGCCCTCCTGAGCTGCCAGGTAGACCGGCGTCACTCCTGAACTGCACATCTCCGCGTTGGCACTGAAAAAAAAAATTCTAAATGAAATAGGAGATAATTATTGTAGATTAACTATTGTGCGTTAGCGAAGTGTAAACGAATAATGGTCGATTTTTCTGCTGCTCAGTTTATGAAAAAGATTTTATTGACTAGTGTTTTTAATTGCCGCAGATATAAACCAACGTAAGGCTCAATTTGAATGAAAACTTGAAACGATAACTTGATTCATCGATGCAGCTACGATCTCTAGATTTGAATTACAAGAATAATAAAATAAGTAAAAGTTAACGTAACAAGAAAATTACGTTATCTTAGTAAAAGTAAATTAGAAATCTATATACACTAAGTATATACACAATACAATTACAATATACAGTTATTGTACAATATACAATTATACAACGTACAAACAATTTACTACTCGAAATAGAAAGTATTATGAAAGCCATTGCTAAAGATGCGGCTGTTTGACAGCCTTTGTTAACCCATAAGCTATTGTCCTCAACCAGAGAAACTGGTCAGCTTTCCTAGACCATAGATGACCAGCTTGCAAGAACCAGTTGAGAAAGGCGAGCTGTTTGCTTCAATTTATATTGATTATGTTAGGCACGCATATTACGTTAATTGATTAATTGTATGAACCGTATATGAAATACTATTAATAAAATTATCAATTGACAATAAATTGATGAAGATAATATTGGTAACAGGTGCTGAAAGATTTTAAATTAGAAACAGCATAGGGCCTACGTGTTTTTTATTTTCTTCGAGACGAGAAGGGATCTTTGAGAGAGCTACATTTAAGAGTGAAAGCAGCATAAGGCTCAACTTGATCACCATCATTGGATGAAGTTATATTCATTATTCCGAAAATTAAAAAATAAATAATTTACTTGCCGTAGAAGTTATACAACACCTTGTACAAATTTATCTGTTGAAGGGAATGCAGGGCTTAAGATATCTTTTTGGCTAACCCCAATTTTGATGAGCTAAATATCGTAAATCTAAAAAAATTCTAATTGCACTATCAAGAGTTGCATAAATTGGACGTAAAAATGAATACGACTCTTTGTGTAAACCTGATTTTATAATGAACCTTGCACTCATCCTGCTTGCTTTGCAATTGCAGTGGTTTTCTGGGTCAAAAATGAGTTTTTCGAAAGCTAGGATATGGGCAGGTCACGCCAACAGCATCTTCACTAAGATCGACCCATTTCTCCTGACTTTCTCCCATTGGAAAGAAGAAGAAGAAAGGTGCCAGCTTTATGGAACACAACAAGTCCGATTCCGAGGCAGCAAATCGCCGCATCCTAAAGAGAAAGTCCTGAACGGCTTCCAGGCAGATGCGTTGCACTTTACACAAAAACTGGGCTCAAGATTACCGCTTATGCGCTTGAGGATAGAAAAACCTAAGATTTTACGCTAATTATTTAGGAGACATTGCGAAATTGTTCTCGTTTTCTTCATTTGCACAAGTTGTGTGCTTCGTGTTGAAATTGAATAAATTGATCGTTAGACTACACTTTTACATGCATCATTCATTTTTGCCAAGCCCTCTTGGCCTACATACGTACATAGTCTTTATTTTTTTTAGCAAGAATAGATCCATACACAGAGATGCTAATAAATCACCCCATAAAATTGAGGACATTTGAGTTTGATAAAATAATGAATATATTTTAAAATATGAGGACATAAGCGAAAGTGGATGACATAGGCATTGTTAACTTAAAAAGCAAACAACTCCCAGACATTTTTGAAGGCAATAATACTCACAGATATAGATTCTCTATTTATTTTGACTAGACTTAAGAGTTAATCCATGTAGTTGGCTTGCTTATGAAATTGTAATTTAATTAATTTCATTACGTTAGCGTCTGATGGGTGAAAGGAAACAGAATCCGAAGTAGCTCTAATTATTTCTTTCGATGTTCAAAAGTTTAAAGTTTATACGCATTGACGCGAATCAATCCTTTCAGAACGGCTGCACCAGTTTACTGCTAAACCGAGCCAAAGTTCTCCTAATAATATGAATATAATTGAAGCTTTTCAGTCCTGATCTATGAGGCATGCCAAAGCCTCGCAATTCAAATGAAATTTCGTTTTTGAAGGATGACAGCTGGTCGTCCGTCACAGAGCATCCACCCAGAGGGCACTCTAAACTATTATCTTCTCAAAGCGGAATTGCGTGCTATTAAACAAATGGTTCGAATGATCCCAAAGGGAGATCAAGGAGTAGCAGAAAACGGGCGTCGTAGCCGGTAGTGGACCGCGGGCTAGACTTAACTAGGACACTTTCGTCGCTTTTTGCGCGCACTGCGATGAACCAAACAAATTTAAAAAAATGTGAAGATGATCTTGAAGATACGAAGATTTTTAACAAGGTTCGAAGCACTAATGACTTAGTGAACGCAAGTAGTTGTTTAAGGTATAATAAATTAATGTTTTTCTCATACCGATACAATTGTGTTACAAATGATGACTATTAAAAACATTCCACAAAAATATTCATGAATAATCTTTCAAAAAGATTTGAGTAAACAAATTATATGTGTCCATGTTTTACTGTGGATTGACGATATCAGAGGATAAAGATAAATTACACGTATGATATAGACTCAATATTAACTTGTTCATTTTCATTTGATTATGCTTTTCTATTTTTATATGTTATCTACTAATTCATAGTTGACGTTTTGAGGGGATTTTTTGTAGAGACCTTCAACGATTAGACTTTTTATGTGGATGCAAAGTAATTCAGTGTAATACCGAGATTTCTAATCAAAATCGATGCACAGAGCAATATTTGCAGGAACGAAGCACGAGAGTATCGAGCAATTGATATTCGTTCTGCTAGATAAATATTAAATTCTCATCAACATTTCTCATTATTTATACTTAGTCGTAGATAACAGAAGTGTTCTAAACTTATTGATAGCTACAAACCTTTTTTGAATTTGAGATCGAGTTGCGGACACTTTATTCCGTATTTTTGATGTAGCATTTTGAACGCGTTTAGGAACCGCTGGCTTCTCCGACAAAACTTCTTCGTTTTCATAGAGCGGAACTTCATCCTGACATTCATTGCTGGTAAATGGCTTCTCACAACCAACAGCCTTGTCCGCATTTTTGAACGTAGTTTTTTCTTCATCGTAACTAATATCACAGTTTTTAAGCACACTACCTTCCGACGAAATCAACGTCTTGCTCGAGACTGTTTCTTCCGGTTCAGAAGACCTGCCGAGTTTTTGTCCAGAGTTGCTCACAATGGGAACAGTTGAGGCAGAAGCTAGGACCACATGGGACTTTTTGGGCGGTCCTTGCATGTGAAAAGAGACGTCGGATTCTAAAAAAGAAGAATCTACACATGCTTCTACTCGACTATTTTTAAATGATTTGGATTCAGCCTTATTGATTTGGTTCAATCTTTTTCCGTCACTTGGTGGCTTCGTCGTAGTTTTGAATATCTTACCAGGAAATCGTAAGCTAATGCGTAGCAATGGAGACCGTTTACTGACTTTGCTATTTACTGACACAAATTCTTTAGTCAACCTTCGGTCAAAGTGCTCATCTGTAGTTTTCCGGTGACACCCGCTCCTTGCTTCTGACTGGTTCGTTTTTGTACAGAAATAAGGAACATCACAGACAATATTTTCTTTACTTATTGTTAAGGAGGGATTTTTAGTCTCAAAAGGTTTGGAGTCAACAGGCCTTGTGTTCGATAACCTTATCTCATTCGTTAACACCATCGAATCACAAGATTGTCCGATTTTACTTCCACCTTGAGAATAGAAACCTCTTAGGTCATAAATTTTTGTGGCGTCGTGATTGGTGACATCAAACAAAGTAGGGATCTTGATTTCTTGATCAACTTTGCTATCATCAATGCTATTTCCATTCGAGTGCTTCCCACTAGCTTTCTCTTCAAACAGCATATTTTTGCTAAGATGTATTGCTTCAAAAACTCCTGCTTCAAAACTGTCCATGCATCGCAAATTTTTCATGTTTCTCTTCCCTGTATTTTTCATTTCAAGGGCTAATGACTGCCGAGCTTTATCGGATTTCTTTCCAGAACTTTGAAGCGAGCCTCTGTTAAACTGCTTCCGCTGATCATAACCTTTATTGTCGACACCATGTCGGGTTTCTCTCCTATGTCGTTTTTGGTGATGTTTGTTATCGTGAATCCGTCTCCGCTTCACTGAATTTGAGACATTTGATTCAAAGTTCGTACTCGCTTTGCCATCATCTGCGCAGTGGGAGGAGTACTCACAGGGGGAGCTGGTGTTAGCTCCCATGGTTCACGTGCAGTTGTTCATTTCAAGTCACGGAGAATAGATTTTCACTTTCACGTACAATTGTTCATTTCAAATAACGGAGAATAATTTATAATCATCAAATAATTTTCACTGTCGCTCAAACTCATCACATCAAAATATTTGCGGCACTTTCGAACGCAATCAAGCTTAGCCAATGCAATCAACTCAATCGAAGGCGCAATCCGACTTCAGAAAAATAATTGTCTAATTGAAGTGGAATCAACACTGCCTTCGAATTATCTGGACCTTTTTAATTGAGGATCCCGTCTGCATTCTGTAACTGCATCGAAAGTTGTTAGTATAACCACGATCCATGTAAGCTTTTCAGGCGAAATAATCTAACCACACGCATGCGCTCTTCTTCAGTTAGACGACGCGGACTTGCGAGGAGCGCACTACCACCCATCGTGGCTGTCCGGAAGGAACTAACAGGCGACCTCCTTATGCGTCGCCGCCAGCCCTCTGCATGAAGAAGCTACCGCGGGCAGCGACAGCGAGAGAAATTCCTGGAGCAGACGACACTTGTACTGGTCACCCTAGTACAGGCGTTGCCGCGGGGCAGGGCAGCGAGTTTAGAATATCTATCTCTAGTATTTAGGCGTTAGAAACGGTCTATTTAAAGAGAAAAGTCGGTATACAGTCATAAAAAAAATCCTGCAACAACATGAGAAAGGTATTCGGAACTTTTAACCGAAACCTCGGATTGCAATTGGATTTTATTCCGTGCTCATGAAAGTCTTCTTTGCAGTCAGTTATTAGTGAGTATATAGGTAAAAAATACTCGGAATTAATTATTCAAAATTGCATCGTCATGTTAGGCGGGATTTGGAATTTGGTTATGGGACTGTAGAAGCATCGCAGTTCGTGTGCAGCGATGTTCAGTTGTTCATCGAGTGAACACAACAGCTGGCGCACGTGGATTAGTCTCTGCGAACGATGAGCGTGACCAGCTGCTCGAATAACGCTCACCGTACATAACTAATGACGTACAAGAGACAGAGTACATAGTGCATGCGGTCCTCGATTTACAATGAAACTTTAATGGGACTTCATCACTCAGGGTCGGAAGTGTAATGTTAGCAGATGTTATAAAGGGCGATCTCATGTTTTCTCACTCAATGACTAAAGCTAAGTCAGGCACAAAAAATTCCTCAGCTGGGTATCCATATTAAATGGTCAATCGAAGAAATGAATAATCTAAGAAAAATTGCATAATGACCGATTTCTTTCAGAAATGTCAGTGCAAACCACCAAAAAAAGATAAATGTTCATCTCAGAGTTATTTTTCTTCGAAAATCTGTTATTATTATCGGCAAGATAACTTGAACTAAAAAGTTTAATTCACATTGATTGTTAGAAAAAAACGATACTAACAGCATTCAAACTTGGGAAGGAGGTGATTTGATTAAAATATATATTGAAAGAAAGGAATTAATAACACGTTACAAAGCTTCAGAAAATGAAAGTTCAACGGAGGATAATTTTAAAGATTTCATTGCACAACACTTGAGCGATGGACGCGCAATCAAGACAGCTCTCTCCCCCTGCGGGATATATGATCCTGCCGTCTCCTGTTCTTACGTTCGGCTTTCCATTACTTAAAAAATACTGTATAGAAAGCTATGGAACTCCGACCTCCGGGCGACCTCTACAAAGGATCTAATTACCAGTATTTACCGAAGGATAAATTACTGTGGATTTAGGCTCCAACACGTAATTAATTAGAATGAAAATAAGTCGGGAAAAAACATTTTTCAAAATTCATGCTATATAGTAGAAAATTCAAATGTCACCACTACACTCTTTTTTAATAATTAGCAACCATTAGTCTCGTAGTGTCACTTCGTATGTTATAATTACGATTTTATTTAATTTAGACATAATTATAAGTGAAAAATAAACGAGGAATAAATCTTTAAGAATTTAATTAAGATAGAGAATTAAATGAAGTCAAAATTATTCGTCAGTTCTTTCTTGGGTGGTTATATTGAACCAGTAAACTAACTAATAAGGCTCGGAGGAAAAAATAAGCAATGATCTACTAGGAATTATAAACTGTCTTTAGTGATAAACATGTATATTTCTATTTTAAATTAAATGATGACAGTAAACATATACGGTACCCAAATTTCTGGACATTTCATATGTAACACATTTCACGGACAACTATCAGCAATATTTACTTTGAGCGTGCAAAAAAAAAGACATCATCCTCCCCTAGGAAGCAAGAAGCTCTTGAGAGTAAACCACTACTAACAGAAGTTATACTTTCCACAATTTACTGATAAACAATGGCTATAGAAGCTCCCTGCAGCGTCGATGTCTCAACTTGAACGTTTGCGCATTGAGTGAACGCGCCAGGCCATTCGCTGCAGACTGTCACGCTGTGGCCTCACAATCGAGTCTTTCACTTGAGCGCCTCACGACAGAGCCATTGTCTGCAGACAGTGACGCTGTGTGGCCTCACAATCGAGTCTTTCACATGATCGCCTCACGACAGACCCATTGACTGTCACGCTGTGGCCTCACGATCGAGTCTTTCACTTGAGCGCCTCACGACTGACCCATTGCCCGCAGACTGTCACGCTGTGGCCTCACAATCAAGTCTTTCACTTGAGCGCCTCTCGGCAGACCATTGTCTACAGACTGTCACGCTGTGGCCTCACAATCGTGTTTTCGCCACAATGTAACCAGCCGTTGCGATTGGCATCGTTTGTTCCGGAATATAACTCTAAAGTTTATGTTTGACGACCGGGAATTCTACAATGACGTAAAATCGGATTTTGTATAAAAATGATTAAATTTTTCGAGGCCCCATGTAAAGTGCGTTAAAGCATTCGAATCATTAAGATTCAGTGTACGACTTGCGGGTGAACCAATGTACTAATTGTAATAATTGTGGGTTTGAATTGGATACATCAAATTCTAATTTTTTGGCTGAAGCCAACTGGATGTAAGTGGATAAACATCTTGATGTGGACATATCTACTGGTTCATACAGGCACACATCTGAATGGCAACTGATCGATAGGCCTAAGATGTCAAAACTTTTTTCAAGCACTAAGCCGTTCACAGCTTGGAGAACTTTCTCTCTCTGCTGTCACCTGCAGCGTGACTGCACCACGAGCCTGCAGCATTTACTGAGCAAGCTCAGATGCAATTTATTTCATAGCTTGAAGCTTTGTCACTTCTGCTTGATGCTGGCCTTGTTTGAATACGTTAGTCAACACTTTTGCTGTTCTTCAAACGCGTTCTCTTACACTTCTATTTCCTGAGGCAACAACACACGGGTGCATTTCTGTCGAGTTACAGTGGCATTGTGTACGGCTCTAGAAACATCGTTTTTCAGCAGAGGGTTGAAACAACGACAGTGTTGAAGATATTGTCGAAAAGAGATTGAAAAGATAAAACACTGTATCTGCAATGGTATTTTGAAATATTCTAATTGTACTTACCTGTGAACTGCTTCAATGTGCTCTTTTCAACTGAGACTTGCAAGCAAACCGTAGAATTAAAGAATATTCTCTATACAAGTAAAAAAATTATGCTGGCATTGTGTCGTGCACGGGTTAGAAGGGAGAGGAACAGTCAGGTCTAAAGTTCGGTGAAGCTCTTCGCGTAAATTTATAATCTGTATTTGAAAATTGTTATCATGTGGGAAGAGGGCGTGGGGCCTAACGCATATCAAGTTGACTGGAGTTGTCATACATTTTCCAGTTGTTAAAAATAATTGGCGGCAGATGTGGTGAAAATATGAATACCTATAACGTATGTCTCATCTCTCAGATAAATGAGCGGGACAGCTTTCAAAAATCGAGGCACTTTTCACACTTTGGTAGGTTATCTTGATCCAGTTTTACACCGCAAAATTCTGCATCAGTGCTACGTCTGCTTTCTGCTCGTGTTATTGGTAATAAAATGTATCGTTACTTGGAGATGTTTGACCTCTTTATTTTTGCAGTGTTTGATCAATTTCGTCGGTGCATTCTAAAGAAGCTTCAAACCAAACCTTTTGTTACGAATGCCTTTCTTCTCAAGCCTTATTACAGCACAGAAGAACAATAAATCCATATGCGTTAATAAAGGTTGCTTATAGCCAAGAAAATTAAGGAGGCACGCATTGAGTTACGCAGCGTCATCGCGACAGAGTCGCTGGCTGTGGCAGAACTGAACCTCTACGTGTGGGGCGCCCTACAGCTGCGGGCAGAAGTCTTACAATGGAATGATTGAGATTACGGTGGAGTCATCAATGACGTTACAGTGGAATAATCAATGAAGAAAATTTATTAATGCTATTATACTAATTTACTATTTAGTTTGGGTAATGAAAATTTACTAATGCCAAAACTAGATGATTTCTCATTCTTCACTAATTATAGAATAATGGGATAAAATAACTACTACCTGCGTGAGACTTGTAGATAAGTAACTAAAATTTATCATTTGATGATGAACGAACGATGGTGTTACTTTACCTTTTTTATTTTGAAAATTTTAAAGAAATATGTAACACATAAGTAATACGAGTTTATAGTTCGACGTGTAATATATGTAAGTTCGACTTCAAAAGAATGTCGTACATGTCATGCCAAAACACATGTCGAACATGCCAAAACACTTGTTATGCAAGTTTTTCAGCAAATAGTTCATAATAAACTGTAGAACTGCTGCAAATAATTTCTTGAAGTTGCTCAATATTCTAATAAATGACCTCCGGAATGTAACGTGAGGCAATATTGCCTTTCATCGAGCTTATAAAAACTGAAATTGAAGAAGCGTGAAGACTTCTATAGTATTTACTACAAACAGCACGAGCCAAAAATTCCAGCATGATAAGATTCCTGCATTACTTAGCGAATTGAGGTCCAGAATTTAGGTAATACTTTGAATGTGGTTATGACTTAATTTCAAAGGACTCAGTGTCATGTGGTTATGAATGGATTTCAAAGACTGCATTCTGAACATATTATAGTTCTTAGTTAAACCTCTCGTAGGATATGACTAATTTTCGCCCGTAAATATTTCTTTGTAGTAAAGGTAGGCTATGCAAACTACGCAAAATTCTTATATTTTAGTAGAAAAAGGCCACACCCAGAAGCAAAGCTTATTTTCCTTATAACCTTTTTCAGTACATCCAATCAAGTATTCAAATATTATGTATTTTTATTACGTATTGTATTATTATTATATATTTTTTGCGTGCTTCTGTGTGAATAAAGAATAAAGAATAAAATTAGTATCGTCCTTCTTCAATATTTAGTCTACCATGAAAACTATTGTCCTTCTCCGTTTTCTATCAGACAAAGAGATTATAATTTGATCAGCAACTATTCTATTACGATCCAGCGTAGCAAACTTACATTTTTTCCTTCACTGACAGTTACCCGTTTGCTAGCTTTTATACAAGTTAAACACTGCAATAATTGGTAGTTCTCGTGAAACAGGTAACGATAATTCATTTAAATTAAAACAAAAAATCTGTGTGAAATTGATAAACATTGAATAAATATTCACTAGCCTAATTTTCATCACGACACGTACATAATAGTAGCAAGACTGAGGTTGGAAGCTTTTCTTGCGGAGTGCCAATTTCGTGCAAACGCCTAGTCACAGGAAAGCATTAAAGTTTCTATTGATATATCCCTCAATCACAACCCTCCGGTGTGAACGTTGCTTATGCGTAAATAAGAACTAATACTCAAATGACTCGGATGCATGAAGTACCGTTGCCCAGACAGGAGCAGTCAGCTGTTAGAGCTTGAGCTGGAGATGCGTAACAGCTGGGAATCACAGAAGGACGGCTGACACTGCATGCAAATTTAGTCCAAAGCGTCTAGCCGATATTAAAAAATTCACCGGTCAGTGGAGTGAAGAATCTACTCGAATATTTTGCCAAAGCAATTTTAAATACATAAATGTGACGTTTCAGCTGATTATGACTGTGACAGTATGCTTCATTCTAAACGTGTCAAAATAAATTTTTTGTTTCAAGGAAAACAAGCTTTTCCGTGAAACCGGCTTTTATAGCCGGTGCAAGTCAGACGTGGGACGAGGTGTTTTACGGTTTGTTGAGTGGGCGCTTAATTTCCGAAAAAGTGAATCGAAAAAGAGGCCAATGTATTTGGGGCTGCATGAGTAGCTAAGAGTTATTACATGTGCGGGCTAATGGAGTGGGCGTAGAGTTCTTCTTTGTGCGTGTTCCTGGAAAGAGCAATACGCACTGCGCGCAGCCTCGCGCAGCTGCGTAATGCAGCGCAAGCTCGCCGCCTGCTGCGCCGACGCTCATGCCTGCTGCGCGAGCTGCGTGCAACAGTCGCACGCTCCTGCAACGCACAAAAAATTCATTCATTATTATGTAATGCAAGTCAAAATAACGCTAAGTCCGTCTACAAACATAGAGGTGGGGCTGTGGTGGTGCAGTGGTGAGAGACTCTGTCTCTCGCACCCAGCGCCCGGGTTCGAGTCCCACTGAGGACAAAGTTCTACCGGGAAGCTCAGCTCATGGTCAACTCAGCCATTCATCTAACTCTGGTTGATAAATGAGTACCTGGCTTGTCCAGGGTGTTCTGTAATGCAATAAAATGGTTCTGGCGAGACAGCGAGACAGTGATGTTCGTAGAACTACCAGTGGTACCGAGTGCCCGGAAAAACTGACCTATCACCCCCCTCCCTAGTCGCACTGCCAGGATGGGCAATTACAACAACAAACACAGAGGCCTTAACGATGCACACTTTTTGCAATACACAAAGAAGTTATTCAGAACAACAATCCCCTCAACATATACAATTATAGTAGATATAAGTCGTTGGTGATACCTGTTATATTATTTGCAGTCTAAAAATCAATGATGTTTCGCTATAAACAAGAATATATTTCTGACGTTAGTCCCGGCACCAATTGACAATATTCTGATTAGGTCACGGTAATATTTAAATAACAGTGGTATCGATAGCATCCGGTAATATTTTAATGACAGCATGCAGTAACATATTTTAGTAACGGTAATTTTTTAAATACCATGTGATATTGTTACGAAAGTAGTTCCGACGATTTACGCTAATATTTAAAACATGGTGTTCACTGTTCAGGCATCATCTGGTAATTTTTTAGTGTTTATGTTCCTTAACTGGTTCGAGAACTAGCATAACTGGATTAATAGTCATTATAAAAATAGATGTTAGCAAATCATCACACTAAATATGAATTGCAGGAGACTAGTTGCCAATGGGGAATCGAAAATAAGCGTTATTCAAGACCGATTCATGACGGTCATTCGTATATTTTCCTTCAATATTGAGCTCTAGGTTGCATTGTGATAGCTAAACGTTTCATTATCCAATAGAAACGCGTTTACACCTTAACAATTTATACAGGCATTGATACAAACTTGAGTTCTAATTTTTAGAGACGTGTATTTATAAATAATTTACAGTTCTGAGAAAATCTAAGTTGCATTGAGATACCTATACGTGTTTTTATTGTACAGCTATTATTTTAAACCTTAACATTGTATGTATGCGTTCATTCAAACTTAAGTTTTAATTATAAAAAAACACATATCTGCTTAGAAATAATTCACAGTTCTGAGAAACAACCACGCCCTATCTCTAACCTTAGATGTGTGTGCACCAATATAAAGATATAGTAAAAGAAACGAACAGGTCAAACACCGTCGAAACTAACTAAAAAAATAGTTCCTCGGAATTTTAAAGAAAGAATGGGATCATTTCAAACCACTGCATTTCAATGGTGTCAGTATTTGTCTTCATTTTTTGAGGAAATAAAAAGTGTATAAACTCATTTGTCAGCCAAAGATCAACTGAATACACGTGGTCGTGACAGATGCAATTTCCACTTCAGAAGTCCCTGTCATGGCGGTACAGTTTTGCTAACTTCCATTGAACTGCAGGCAGTAGAGCACTTCGCGTACACGGACGGCGCAGGTGTGAAAATTTCTTCAGTCTCGCCTGCAGTGCGCGTGTCGCGTCGCCGCTGCCAGCTTTGTTCGCTAGACGCGTGCGTGACGGAGAGAGAGAGCGATCGAGTTATTCACTGCGCTGTTGCTTATGTTCATGATTTTGTCGTTTTTATTATTTATCATCATTAAAATCATTGTCATGGCATTGAATGCTGAATCAACTTTTTCGTAATTCCATACGAGTTATTGAATTTATTCTTGATTTCGTCGGATAACAATTAGGCTTTTTATCAATTCATTTATTATAGCACTTGATATTTGACAATTTGATCAGATTGTGAAGGTAAAGTCACTAAATTGATTTGAACGTAACAGATAATTTTCGTGATTTCATCAACAAGTGGAGTAAATTTTTAGGAATATTATTATATCGAGATCAGAGTTTCTCTTCGCGCTTTACCTCCAGTTTGTAGCTTTCATCTCTCTCCTCATTATTGAACGTGACTTCATCTGAATACGGCGAAACATTTTGGTGATTAGAATTAATCTTCCTCGATCTTTGTTGTTCTATTTGAAGCTTTCTCTCATTTATCGTTTGATACAAGATTCAATTTGGTCATTGTGCATTCAATATCATCGTGAAGAAAGACATCGTGATTGATGAATTCAAAATTCTCCAGGAACTTGCAGAATGTTACGACTAGATTCTCCAGAAAAAAAGCCCACGTTGGAACAGCATATGTTGATCGACAACGATTCTCTCTGCAGTAAATGTTTAATAAAATTATAATAACAATGACTTAGTGTGAAATTTTCGAAAGAATTTGAAATACAAATAATAAGATCCGTTTGTGAGGCAATTTCATAATAGCTAAAAAATTTATCATTTTGACAATTCTGATCTGAAATCCTCGGTATCTATTGCACTTTTATTTTTTAATTGAATCACCCCTAACCGTAAATATTCGATCACAGATTCACAAATTTTCCCAGTATTACGCATTATCACGCTTCTATCACATTCACGGCGCTAGGTTGAGCTCGGTGGGAGGGCCATGACCAAATTACTTTTTCTGAAGTGAGGCAAACTCACGAAAGTGAAGCCGGGCCAGCAGCGCTGAATGAAAGTGAGAGAAGTTATTTAATGAGCGCTCGCTTAGTCACGAGATCAAGACCATGAAGTGTTATACAGAGATAATATAACGATCTACTTTCTAGTAATTATTATTGAAATACTCTTAAACTTAGAATATAAGTCAAAAAATTATGTGCATTCTATCAAGATGAAGACCTAAGTTGAGGGATTGAGGAGCCTTGAATGTTATTACGAAGGTGAAAGTTTTAATTGAAATGAGGGGAGTGCACTATAAGCTAACATTGCCTGATTTACATGGAAACAGCAAAGTCGATAAATTTTAACTTGAATTCTTATTTTCACAAGGATAATGCTCAGAATTCGTAGAAAATTACTGTCCTTTAGTAGAAAATTTGAATGAACTTCTTTGGAGTCATGATCCGATAAAATTTATCAGTTTTTATAAATTGGAAACGAAATTAAAGCAATTTATATCAAAAACATTTAGTTCAGTAACGGCTTGTGTAATGTCTTTTATAAGAAACGTATAGAAGTAAGCTCCATTATTATTGAAAAGTTTCTTAAAACGTAGTAACTGATTTAATATTCAACGAAGAAATAAATTAACGACACAAAAGGAAAAGAAAAGTCAAGACAAGAACAGTATAGACCTGAACAGTCAAGCCAAGACCAGAACAGTCACGACAAGAACAGTCAAGACAAGAACAGAACAGTCAAGACAAGAACAGTCATGACAAGAACAGTCAAGACAAGAACAATCAAGACAAGAACAGTCAAGGGAAGAACAGTCAAGACAAGAACAGTCAAGACATGAACAGTAAAGACCAAAACAATATTAAGACAGGAACAGTCAAGACAAGAACAGTCAAGGCAAGAACAGTCAAGACAAGAACAGTCAAGACAAGAACAGTCAAGACAAGAACAGTCAAGACAAGAACAGTCAAGAAGTACACCTCAGACCACGGCAGAAATGCTGGTATCATCACACGCGTGCAATGTAGCGGCGACGTTCGTGCTGGCATGCAGACGATGAAATCTGTTAGGCCTCTGCAATGATGCAATGTCTACTATCCCTGAAGCTCAATAATATGACGCCATTTTAAACTATCCAACTAAAAATTGAGGAGAATTCAATTATTTCCAATCAGCTTATGCCTGAATTATATTTATTTTATGAGATTAACCTTCAAACCGGTGGCAACATCTACGATAACATCAACGGTTTCATTCTATCAGTGTAGGATGTGGTATTACCTATTAAAATACGCCGGACAATGATTATCTTATTTGTCTTAGTTTGAAGCAAAGTATTCCTTACATTTTGCATGTATACAAGAGGAAAGAAAGCTGCACCCGTTATGTTTGCGTGGCGTGTCAACAGTGGAGACACCGCTCGCTTTAACTCGCCGTATAGATAGCGTGGATCTCGGGGATTAGCTAAACGCAAACTGGACCGTTTCGATCTGTCCCTTGCACGGACCGTACGATCTGTCCCTTGCACGAACCGTTCGATCTGTCCTTTGCACGGACCGTACGATCTGTTCCTTGCACGGACCGTTCGATCTGTCCCTTGCGCGGACCGTACAATCTGTTCCTTGCACGGACCGTACGATCTGACCCTTGCACAGACCGTACGATATGTCCCTTGTAAGGACCGTTCGATCTGTCCCTTGTACGAACCGTTCGATCTGTCCCTTGCACGGACCGTACGATCTGTCCCTTGCACAGACCGACGATCTGTCCATACCCATTTCGTCGATCTGTCCCATACTAGGACCGTCGACCTGTCTTATGTACAGACCGTATGATCTTCGCCATATACGGACCACAAAATCTGTATCTTGTTGTGCAGACCGCAATGATCTCCAGCATTACGCAAGTACCGCAGCGATCTCATGTGTCTTCTACCTGTTCATTTGTATAACATGCACGATGGGTATTATTAGTTCATATATTTCCAAGACGTCAGAAATTTTAGGGCCATTATAAACCAAATATAAATGATCAAGGTTCATTCGCCTTAAATTTATCCTCCATTTTAACAGATAAATAAAAGAATTCGCTTCATGGATAACAGAATGTAAAGAAAATTTTTAGCGCCACGATGAAGAATTTCTAGATTTAAAACCGTTAGATGTTAATAATTGTTCAGTTCATATTTCTAAGTCTTTTTCATTACTGTATTGCTTTTCGCAAACTATAATTTTGCGAAGAAAATAAATCTGCCGCGTTGATACTAATTGCTGAACTCCAAGAATTTACGGAACTCATTCTGGGTGAACGGCTTCGTGAGTTACACTTAACAATT